TGATCGATTTTAAAGGGTCAATAGTATGAGCTGCGTAATTATTTCCCACTAAATAAAATCCACATGATTAAAAAAAAAACGATAAATCACATGAATTTCCTAATAGATATGACTTACGGGCTAAAGATAAAACGTATAGCAAAGCAATTATTTTATACTTCCGAGGTCTCTCTTTTTCAACATTTTCTTCTACTACTAACGATGAAACTTTATTCGATTCGTTATTTCCGTAATGATCAGCACCAAATCTTTCTTCTTCTGATAACTCAAGTGACATTATAATATTAAAAATTTCTTTGATGTTTAAGAAGTGATTTTTAGAATTTTAATATGAATCCAGTGGATGAAGACGAAAATGTCTTAACAAAAAATTGGATATTTAACAAATTAAGTTATCAGATCCGTTCAATATAGGCATATATTTTTTCCGACAAAAATCATAACCAAATAATCAATTATTATCGGGCATCTAAATAAGGTAAATCCGCATTAAATCATGAATATCAAATTGAATTACATTGTTCCATTTTTTTTTTTTTAAAAAAAAAAAATTTTAAATGTTAAATATAATCGTTTTAATAATATTCCAGTTCGAAGGCATACCTGAAACTATAGTAAATTTGTTAAAATTATTCAATTCGTTAAATTCATCACCTTTTAACGTTAATTTTTGAATATTTCAAACTTTTACGATGCAAAAGTACCTATATGAACAAGATATCGTAATCAAAATTCGAGTTTAAATATTGTATGATTCGCTCGTAAAAAAAAAACCTTTGATGAAATGCAACCTGAAACGTGACCTTCCAACCTGACACAAATAATATATATCGGTCAACAATTACAAAAAATTTTAAATATTTAAAAGAAAAAAAATAGGCGCCGTCGGTGAAGTTTTCTAATTATAAAAAGAAAACCCAAAAAAATCATAAATTTAGCATCTGCGTAAAATAACACTTTTCTAATTAAAAAAATTTTAATGACAAATAAGGAAATCAGTTTCACTTTACAGAAATGCCTGAAATACGTTTTGCAACTAATTTCGACGTTTGTATGTTGCTTCATATTAAGTCGTAACTTTTTGAGAATTTTAATCAACATACGAATAGATAATATAAGTCCAAATGACTTTCAGATAAAGAAAATAACCTAATTATACATCCGTGTTATAAATAGATTTTGGTACTTTAATTTAAAAAAAGTTCCTGAAGACTTAGAATGTTCGATTTGGATAAGTATATTAAAAATTAATTAAAAAGAAATTTATATACAAGAAATAACATTAAGAAAATAAATAATCGAAAGAATAGATTTTTTAAAGTAAATAATTTTCATAAAGTAGCTTTTTTTTCGAAATTTTTTTTTTAATTATCTTAGCAATTAGTTGTTTTTGGGTTCGATCGCATCAGGCCGTAACAATCGACTGCCTCAACTTTTGATACCAATAGTATTTTTTTTTGTCTTACTCTTAAAAAATATCAAAAGCAATGAATACGCTTAAGGCATTCCTAGTTAATAAACAAAAATTTAGAGTTATACTTTTTGAGGATATTTTATGATTTGCTTAAATAGTAACAAGGGATTTTATAATAATTTATATAAAAAAAAATCGGAGATTTAATGAAGTATTAGTTGTCTAAACAATTTAATCACTTTTGCCCATCGGCCCGATGACACAACACACTTATACAAACCGTAACTGAATGTTAAATACATTTTTATTTTTTGATAATTTTGATAAAAATCGTTGCCCTATTCTATAAAGTTACATAATTCCAAAGAGATTTGGTATTTGTTCGCTATTAGTATAATAATTGATGGGTTATCAGAGATTACTATATAGTTCACGGTAAGAAATGCATTGATTGGATATTTTGCCACGAAGTGGAAAAATCACCAATCAATGCATTGCTATAGTAACTGTAGAATTATCGGCGATTACCCGTGAAGTTACGATATAATTATTCGGCCCACTGATTATTATAAAATATTATTTTAAAAATTATTCTTTTTTCTTTCTCGTTTTATATCATTTAATCTCAATGCAACTGCATTTTTTTATTATGCCAAAATCCAAATAAAAACCTTTTAAAACCTTCTTTTTATAATAAAAAATTATTTTATTATTTAACCAATTTAAATATAATGATCCTAGAGATAGTGATATATAAGCAATTATTAATTGTATTTCAATTGATAAATCAAATAAGAATTGTGTTATACAGTTAGAATGATATCGTGTAAATTTAAATGGAAAAATTGAAAATGAAATTGATCTTCAATGCATATCGTTACATATTTTTTTATAAAGAAACTAACATTCATATATTTAGAATTAAAACTTTTCTGCACAAAAGAATTTAATTGAGAGTCAATTAATGACAACTGATCTTTCACTTCCAACGTATTTTTAAAGAAAATATATTTCTTTTATATTTAAATTTAATATTAATAGTAAATAGAATTTAATTAAGTATATATAATAATTAATAAATAATTAACATGTTAAACTTTTTTTAATGTATTTTAATATAAGTAATAACTTTTATTGTAATATCATGGTCGAAGTATAAATAAACTCTGTCCGTGACAAATTACTCCATGGACAAAGTATATTATTTTACTTTTATTACGGCTAAATAACATTGTCAATTAATATAAATAATGAATAATGGGATAATGGGATAAGCTAATTTAATAATAAAAATATTAATAAAGGTTATAAATTTGAGAAGAAATACGATCACATTTTGTGAAATTGCTGTAAATGAAGAGCGCTAAGCGGATAAAATATTTGTCTAGTACAAAAACCGGATATACCAAATCCGGTTGGAAAAGAAATCGGATGTCATAAATCTGGTTTCAAATGTTTTGTCGATTTTGAGTTTCGATCTTTAGATTTAAATTTAATGAACCCGAAGGAACCGGATAAATAAATCGGTGCATTTATTATTTTTTTTTGTAGTTCAAATGCCCCCCCCCCCCCCCCCCCAGCTGAGCAATGAATGTATTTATTTATTTATTTGGAATGCACATAGTACGAGTTAGATCAAGGGCCCTTCTAATTGCATCACTAGTTATAATGTAAATTCTGACCTTTAAAAAATCACCTAATATTTCTATTAAATTGTTTGTTGGTCCTAATTAACAAAAAATACCCACATATACTTATCACATCAAATAAATTATAAAATTATGACCACATAAAAAAATATCGCTCAACTATATTAAATTCACTTTAGCAAAACTTCCCGGCTGATTCAATTTCTAAGACCTAATTCGGGTTGACAACCTAACAACCTTTAAACCAAGGAACTAATTGATTGATGAGTTGCTGTTCTCTTTATTTACATAGATTATATAATCATACGATTAGATAAAACAAAATCAAAAAAGAAGAAATAAAGAAATTCCAATTAAAATTACAATAAATTTCGTTCAACTCCGTTGTGTTATCACAAGAGCCTTAGATTTTGATCATCATGTGAAACTTGCATCATCTAAGAAGGGAAATTTATTAATAGCTTTAAGTTGATTTTAAGTGCATAAATTACCTACAAAAAAAGGCAGTGAGACCTAAAAAAAAATACTATTCTCTAAATTACGCTGCTACCTTTCTTTAACTTGCTCTTAAAAATCGTGAAGTATGTTAATGAGCCACTTCAAATGCATTAAATACATTTGTGTTAAAATACAGTAAACTTACTTTTGATTACAAGTATGACTTTCCAGAGAAGAATCAAATACTATTCCAAGCTGAATGAAATCCATTAAGGATGAAATAGCAATGAATAGATTATCCAATTTTCAATCAAATTTCAATACCTGCAATGTGAAAAACCTCATCACCCTATTTCATAGTTTAATTTATTACATGTAATAAGAGGCGTCTCTCATCTTAATGGCTAAACTAGATTGTACAGTATCATTGAAATACATGTATCTTTGATTTTATTAACTTCTGAGCAATGATATTATATCAGAATTCTCTTTGATAATTGAATTCATTAAGCCCACATTTGGACATTTCTCTTTTCTGTACAGCTTTGAATACAAGAAATTTCTATAACCAATTAGAAAATAATAATATGTTGACAGTGTTAAAATTTCACTAATAGTTTTGGAAAAAAAGCTAAAGTATTTTCAAATAGTGTCAGAGATGTACATTATTAGCATAAATGTAATATTTAAAAAAAAACTCATAAAATTTTAAATGAAGAAATTACTCAGATAAAAAATATTAATTACTCTTATATTTATCATGACCACATTCAATAGGTAAAAATAGAATAATTTTATCGTCTAAAGCAGACTTTCAAAAGGTTAGAGAGATTCTATATCAAATCAAATCTTATGTATATTATGTCAAAACATGTTGTGATAAGTGCACAAAAAGACAAAAAGACCATTTTTTCTTGTCAAACTACCAATAAGTATACTTATATTAAGTATGATCTTTTCACTAGATACTACTATTGTTTAGTTAGTAGTGACAGTTATTTCAAGAAAAAGTAGCATGTTGGACCTTGTTTTTATACATACCTCTAAAATTCAAAATTCCAAATATTGCAAAGCCATGTTGGATTTATAGAATATGTTTTTAGTAAAAAAAGAGAGGAAATTATAAGATCATGAGATAAATGAATAATAAAAATTTGAAATTGAGTACAAAGTACTCAAATCTGAGGTATGCTAATTGTTTCACATCATGCTAAGTGTTGTTACTACTACATCAATTCATTAATCATTAATTTACATCAAAAATTAAATAACTTAAACTAGATTGCATAAAATATATAATTAATTAACTGTGATATGTGTAATAATATAATACAAAGAAAAAATTTTTTTTTATTAAAAATCAGAAATAATGAAATAAAGTAAGTATATAAGTTGCTATTAGATTGAATTTTTTATTTTATTTTTAAATTTTAAATTACAAGTTTAACATTAATAATTAATAATAAAGGTTAGAACTGGTTTAAAATCTTTAACTATTAATAACCAGTAAAATATTCATCACAGTTGTATAAATTTTATAAATTATAAGAATCTAAATGAAATATATGAAGTTCATCCTTATGCAACTTATGAAATTTTAATTGATATTGTATAATAAGTTACTATTAATTAATGAAGTTAAGAATCACATCTTTAGGTTTTTTATGAATAGGCACTTGTATTTTCTAAATATATATATAGTAATAAAGGATTATATTCTTGAAACTAAAATACATTTAATAATAAAATATATAAACTTTTATATATATTGATAGA